ACAGTAAATGAGTCACCCGAGGAGCTTTTAAATAGTTGTGTGCCCTCCATGCATGAGCAATCTTTCTAAGTTGCCCACACGGTTCTGGACAATTCCAGCATGCTTGGTTTTAGAGATTCTGAAGTGAAAGGGAATTGGAGAAATTGTTGAAGGAGGAAAATGTAGGTAAAGAGCTGCCATTTTGAAATGAAAGTAGGGCCAGATGTCGAGGGGATGGAGGGAGAGTCGGATCTGGAAAAGCCTCAGAAGGGAAAGGACTTTTGGACCATTGGCTTTAGAAAGATGACGAGGAATTTCTTCTGTAGAGCTGAGGGAAGAAAGTACATTATGGTCAGAATAGGATTTACAAAGGCCAAAGGTACAGGGCCAGAAGCAAAGTTTGAGAGAAAGATGATTTAGTATTGCGGAGAGCACAGGCCAGCACAATGCTAAAACAAACACAAGCTGTATATAGAAAGTAAAATTTTCTAGTAGACACAATATACAAATAGGTTAAATTAATTTCTTCTTTTTTTGGTGCTGAGTCTTTGAAATGTGGTATGCGTTTTACATTTACCACATAGCTCAACCTGGACTAGCCGGTTGCAAGTGGCTCCCATGACAGACAGCGTAGCGTAGCATCTATGTAATTGCCTGGCTTAGTGCTAATGTTGATGAGGGATGTTTTGAGTTGGATTTGAAAGATGATAAGTAGGAACTGAATACATATTTGAAGCTCTTGGTGATTCCAGTACATAAAAGAAAAAAGGAAGTCAAGGATTGGGTTTTCAATGTGGCTTACTTGCGGAGTGGCTTACAGTGATGTTTCTTCTCTGCTTAGCCTGTAGGTATGCTGTTAAATATCAGCTCACCAAATGTTATTGCTCTGATAACAGGGCCCTGATTAGTTTTGTGTGAAAATACTTTACTGTATCTATTAAATGTAATGTTTCAAATTGGACAAACTAACTTTTGTCTTAGAGAGTTTTTTTTTTAAGATGTATGTACTTTTACACACTCAACTGGGGTATAGGCCAGAGGTGCAGGAGCAGTGAGAGGCTTCACCAGAGACAGAGTGGGGAACAGAACATGCAGATCGACCTAGTACACTGCTGAGGGGAGCAGCGGGCGGGTCAGGAGAGGGCTGCACCTCCTGGGCAGGCGGGAATCGAACTCATGCGGAAGCGGCTTTATCTTCTCAGTGCTGTGCTTTAACCCGCTGCGTCACCAGGAAGGGCCAGTTCCTGTTAATTTTTAAAAGGGTAATGAGGTCTAGAGAAAAGTAAGCAGTGTCAGTAAGACATGATTGGATCGTTTTATTATAGTCCAAGGTGTGGTCCGAGCATTGGGAATGCTGGAAGGTTCTCCCGACTCAGAGTGGCTCACTCACACCAAGATCTCACTGTATTTAATATCTACTGAATCTTGCAAATTCTTGATTATCTTTCATGTACCAAACCTGTTTGGCCTCTGGAAATTTGAAGGTGACTAACACAAGGTTTAAGTTTTTTTTATTCATGCATACAAATCTGTGGTACAGGACAGAGGTGCAGGGGGTGAGAGACAGAGTGGGGAACAGAACAGGTGAATCTACTGAAACACACTGCAGCGGGTGAGACAGGAGAGGTCTGCCACGCCATGTGGGTCACCTCCCTGGCTGAGGATCAATCTTGTGCTGCATTGGTTGTGGATTGCTTCACAGTGCTGTGCTTCAACCTGTTGTACCACCACAGAGGGCCCAGACACAGGTTTTGTGCTCTAGGAGCACAGGGGACACTGTTGCATCTTGTGAGCTGTGCTCAGGGGCCCCAAGGAGGGGAGCCTGGGGGTGTGAGCCTAAGCATGGAGCCTAAGCCTGGGGCAGGAATGGCAGCTCCCCCTCTCTGGGGAAAGAACTTCCAAGTCAAGTGAATAAACAGATGCTTGACAAGGAAAGAAGGTCGAGCATTTTGAAGCAGCACTGGCAAAAGGGAAAGAGAAGATTTGGTTTCAGGGTGCTAAAACCAAAGAGATAGTGGACAAGGGTGGGAGACTCCAGAGGGGAGCCATGGAAGTAAGGTGGGGACTAGGTTCTGAATGACTCTGAAGCTCACATTGAGAAATCTCATTCTCTATTTTGAGAAAACTATTTATTATTAAATATTCGTGAACGTCCAATGTGCCAGGCAGTGGGGATTCGACCATAAAGATAATAGAAAAGATTCCCACTCTCATGGAGTTTGTATTAGGCTGGGAGATACAGACCAGATATAAATTAAAATGTGATATGCCTGGTAGTAAGAACAATGAAAAAGATAAAAAACAAAGAGCAGGGTGGGAGTGCTGTTCTGTGTAGGGTGCTCAGGGAGGGTTTCGCTGATGTTTGAACAGAGCTACAGGAAGTGAGTGTGGAGCCTCGTGTGCATCTGCAGGAAAAGGGTCCCAGGTTGGGAAATGGCACAAGACTCCAAGTCAGACGTGTGTGTAGTGTATTCCAGAAATTGAACGGGATGGCAGGGTGAGTGAAGTGGGGAGAGGAATGGGTAGGAATGAAGTTCAAGATAGGTCAGGGAGGGCGTAGGGGGCTAGATAGTAACAGGCCAATAAGCCAGTGTAAAGGATGGCTTTTACTTGGGGTGAATTAGGAGACTGTTGGATGCTTAAGTAAAGAAGCAATGTAATCTGACAGGCTGTGTTATACAGAAAACAGATGTGGGGCAAACAGAAGTGAACAAAGAGATGAAGTAGGAGGTTGTAGTCTGTTGGGTTAGAGATGAAGGTGAGGGTTGTGAGGTTGATAGGAATAAGGGGAAATGGAAAGAAAGGTTTCTAAGCATGATCAAATTTGTGTTTTAGAGAAGTGACAGAGTGTGTAGAAAGAAAGGGTTGGAGGGCCCTCCCTGATGGTGCAGTGGGTTAAAGCACAGCCCTGCAAAGCTATCTGCAGCCACTGCAGCGCAAGTTCTATCCCTGGCCAGGGAGCTGACCCACATGGCTCAGCAGATCTCTCCTGTCTCACCTGGTGCTCCCCTCAGCAGTGGACTTCATCGATCTGCTTGTTTTGCTCTCCACTCTGTGAATCCTCTCACTGCCCCTGCACCTCTGGCCTAAACTCCATTTCTGTATGAATAAAGTAAATCTTTAAAAAAAAAAAGGGGGGGGGTGGGACTGAGGATAGATGGACAGAGTCTAGTTATTGTCTTGTTAAGGCAGAAAGTGATGAGTGACTTGGAAGAGACATTTGTTTACTAGTTAACATTGGAGGCTACGTGTTAAATATGGGAACCAGTTAAGCAAAGGAATCCAGGTTGCCAACACCATCTGTTTATATGTTTATAGAAGACAGAGTGGGCAGCAGCGAGGAGGTGTTAATTCTCACAACCAAACTTAAAATGTCTGCCTTGGTGCAGCCCCTTTCTCCTTGCTGGCTCTGCCCACCCACAACCAGCCCCTTTCTCAAGCTTCTCAAGTCCTGGATTCACTCTCATCTTTTCTTTTCTCATCCTAATGGTGCCTCCCTCATAAGGCCCAGTGCATAGTCTGCCTTGACATTTCTCTCTATCTCCCAATCTACTACGTACCTACAGTGCTTTACTGTGCTGTGTTTATCTCCTGTCCTGCTTAATAAACACTTTTTTTAAAGATTTATTTATTTATGCATATAGAAATGGGGTACAGGCAGAGGTGTGGTGGGTAAGAGGATTCACCGGAGACAGAGTGCGGCGCAGAACAGGCAGATCTACTGGAATACACTGCTGAGGGGAGCAGCTAACAGGTCAGGAGAGGTGTGCCACACCATGTGGGTCAGCTCCCCGGGGGGGATCGAACTCGTGCTGCAGTAGCTTGGGAGAACTTCATAGTGTGGTGCTTTAATCCATTGTGCCACCGGGGAGAGCCCTAAATGAACACTTTTTAAACTAAAACCTAGGCAAGGACTGCAGTGTTTTCATTACATTTTTATCTGCCACAGTGTAAAGTCAGGCGCCTTATATCTCCAGTGTCATCTTACCTGGCACACTCAAATCTCTGACTTTGGTCAGAAAAATCTTCCCCATCTCAGCCTTCCCTGTTCCTGTGGTTGTAGTGCCAAGGATGAAAGTGACCCCGAGGAGCCAATGTGGTGTGTGGCTGTGGTCATGCACTTCACTCAGTAGGAGACAGGGCCTCTCCTGTCCTCTCTAAATGTCAGATATCAGGAAACAGATGTTCAGTGTGGATTAGGCATTTACTGGCCACCCGCTCAAGACAAAAAATGACTCCTCTGAGGAGTGATGCTTGAGATGAGACCGAAATAACTAGTAACCAGTTGTCAGCAACATGGGAAAAAGGGAGTAGCAAGCCTAAAGGCCTGGAGTACACCTGTGTATTCGGGTCTGGCCAGATGTGTTCAGGAGTCAGCAAGGTCAGCTTGGCCAGAGCCCATGAGTGACGGGAGTCTGAACGTCAGTCTTAGCACAGTGGCATGTATTAGTTTTAGGCAGTGAGTATGTTGTACAGTTGTACTGTGGAGGACTATGAAGCCATTCCAAGGAACCCTAAGGAATAAGAAATATATATGATTCTATGGAAAGATGTTCAAGATACATAGTTAACTGTAAAAAGCAAATGATAGAACAATATATGTGGTACACAAAATGGGACTATGTGTAGGTGTGTAAGAGCGAGAGACCTGGCACCTAAGTATATAAGGTGAACTCTTAACAGTGGTTACTTCTGGGGAGTGGAGAGGGATTTGTCGTAGGGGGCAAAGTGAAGGAGGATTGTCACCTTATACTCCCCACTGTATTTGGATTTATAACAAAGGAAGTGTGTGGGAAGTGAGGAAATGATCTCTGTTGAAAAAGGCTTGGCATTGAAGGAAAGCAGGATGGCTGAGGAGACTTACTGCCCTTCACAAACTTCCCGCTGCCATACTGGGTCCTTCACAAAATTATGTAAGCAGTTAGCTTATTTAAGTCAACAGTGCCTCCTCAAGATTTCAAAAGTGTGTTGCCATGGGAAGGTGGGTGGACGCCTAGTTGAGCAAGAATGTGATCCTCCAGGAATCGGTGACCTTCAGAGATGTGGCTGTGGACTTCACCCAGGAAGAATGGTACCATGTGGATCCTGCTCAGAGGCGCCTGTACAGGGACGTGATGCTGGAGAACTATAGCCACCTGGTTTCTCTTGGTAAGGACTCTGTGTTTTGCCTACTAGTGGGTCTTTCCCCTCTCAGTTGCAGAGGTTGTAAGACTCATTGCTGGGTGACCATTAGCCGGGTGTTCAGATCAGAGCCTGCTCATCTCTTTGGAACCCAGCTTTATGGGTTTCCGAGACTGCTCTTTAGGGTGAAAGTTTGTCTTTTGCAGAACTGAAAAATAGGCCACCAGTTGCATGACTCCTTAAGTTGCACCTTTCTTTTCCTTCAGAGCTCCTGACGATCAAGGATTAGTACTGACTTGTAGGAGGGTTCTCGGTCCACTTGCACACACAACCAAATCTTGTGTATTTACCCATGAGCAGGATATCAAGTTTCCAAGCCAGAGGTGATCTTCAAATTGGAGCAAGGAGAAGAGCCATGGATATCAGAGGGAGAAAGCCAAAACCCATTCTCTCCAGGTAAATTGAGCGAGGGCCAGGCCTGTAGGGGTCAGCGCAGGGAGCGGGGGTGGGGCGCCTTTGCACTGCTGCCTTGTGGCTCCTGGATTTGCAGAGAGGTCGCACTGCCCTCTCCTGCCAGACACTGACAATCTGTCAGTCTCTCTCCTGCTGCTCCTGCTTCATAGGCCTTGGAGGGAAAGATAACTCTTTTTCCTTTCTGAAAGTAGCTTTGACATAGGGCTACACTCTAATACTTTATGTATTCTGAAACCTTACTTGCTTGTTTATTTTCTCCTCTGGTGTCTTCAGTCTCCCTTGTTATTCAGAGATCCTTTCTTTAATTATTCAGACATGAATTGAACTTCCCTGTCTCCATATTTTGTCTTGATGCATCGTCTATACCTCATACTTGATTCGCCCTCCTTTTGTAGCTGGTCTATCGACTTCTTTCCACACCTTCACTCCTGGGCCATGAGGAGAGCAGCGTCTTCCCTCCTGTGTCCATGCCCAGTGGATTCACTGCTGCACGGTTCCTAGCATATCATCCTCTTCAGAGCTCCCTAAGGGCTTCGTGCTTTTTTATGGCTTTGGCTTTTCTTGGTTCCCCCTTACTTGAATCTGCTTTAAGGCAACTTTCTCCCCTTTTGTTCTATATTAGTTCCCTAAAAGTGTGCCTTCCTTTTAGTATCAGTAGATGTAACTCTTTCATTCTTTGCTATAAACTCAGAAACCATCCTTTTGTGTCACTTTTTTTTTCCTTCTTAGTGGACCCTTCCACCTGGAGGTCCCACACAGTTCTTAATAAATACATAAAATCAAAATATCTTTCACCTCCCACCACTACATTTGGCTGCCTTGACTATTAGAAATGACTCGATTTCTAATCCCTGTGATCAGTTTGTCTTTCAATTCATTTTTCTCCTTTGAGAAATGTTTTAGGTTTTTCCTGCCTTTTAATGTCCACTAGAGACAGCTGAAACCCGTTAGACTTTGACTGTTGTAATTCCAAGATGAAATTAATTGATTACTCTGTCCTTTTTTTTAATCCACATTGTATTTTTAAATCATAGCTCTATTGAGATATAATAACCATACCATAAACTCATCCTTTTAAAGTATACAGTTCAGTGGTACAGTTGACCACTATCTAACTTCAAAACATTGTCATCACCCCAAAAAGAAACCCTCTATCACTAGTGGTCACTCTCCTTCCCCAACCCCCAGCTTCTGGCAGCCATTGATGTACTTTTCATCTCTATAAATTTGCTTTTTCTGGATGATTTATGTTAATGGAATCATGTAACCTTTTGAGGCTGGCTTATTGCACTTATGTTTTCAAAGTTCATTTCATATTATAACACGCACTTCATTCCTTTCTGTTGTTCAGTATTATTCCACTGTATGGTTGGTTATGTTTGGCTATCTATTCATCACTAGGTAGACTATATTGGATGTTAATTCTTTGTCTTCATAAACCACACCTCTGACCTCAGTGTTTGAGTAATACTGAATATATGTTTAATATAGTAGTACTATTGAATATACATTTAAAGTATGTTCATTATGTTTAATATTGAATATACATAGTTCTGTGTATTTTCTCTGTGTTAATAGAGTATATAAAAGGCAGTGAGGAATTACTTGAACGCTATGGAATCTGTTAGGGAGAGAACTTTCTGATTCATTCATTTCAGAAAACATTACTTCAGTGCTCTCTGAGAAGTATTCTAATACCAAGCATCTTGTACTAAGGAAATTAGAATTTAGTCTTGTTTTTGGGTAAGGAATTTTTCGATTTAGGGTCCCTTAGTTGCTTGGACATTTTCCCTTCTAACAATTTATTATGAAAAATTTGAGGCATGTGAAAAGTTGAAAAAAAATTACACAGTAATTACTGTATATCTACCAGTAAGATTCTCTAGTTGGTAAAACTTTGCTATATTTACTTTAATCACAGACATCATTTCTCCATATATCAATCCATCTTACTTTTTAATCTACTTAAAATAAATTGCAGACATGGATACATTTCATCCTTACATGCTTCAGCATTACATCATTAACTAGAGGCCAGTGTCTGTTTATGATTTTTTAAAATTTATTTATTTAGACATACAGAACTGGGGTATAGGTCAGAGGTGTAGGAGTAGTGAGAGTATTCACCAGAGACAGAGTGGGGAGCAGAATGGGCAGATCAAAGAAGTACACTGCTGAGGGGAGCAGCGGTCGAGACAGGAGAGGTCTGCCACGCCATGTGGATCACCTCTGGGGCTGGGGATTGAATAGACACTGAAGTGGCTGTGGCTGGCTTGCAATGCTGTGTCTTAACCCTTTGTGCCACCAGGGAGGGCCCTGTTTATGATTTTTTAAGAAATATATAAATAAATATATATATATATTTATTAGGGCCTCCCTGGTGGTACAGGAGTTAAGGTGTTAGCACTATCAATGTATTGCCAGCCACTGCAGCATGAGTTCGATCCCCGGCCAGGAGCTGACCCATATAGCGCAACAGACCTCTCCTGTCTTTCCCGCTGGTCCCCTCAGCAGTGTATTCAGTAGATCAGTAAATCTGCCTGTTCTGGTGAATCTGTTCACCCCTCGTACTTCTGAAGGCCTACACTCTGGTTCTTGTATGCATTACTAAGTAAAAATAAATATTTTTAAAATACATATTATAAACTGTATAACTATTAAATTTACCATGCAGTTGTTTTTTAAAAAAGTCTTTCCATCTTTTTTTTTAAAGATTCATTTTTTTATGCATACAGAACTGGGGTATAGACCAGAGGTGCAGGGGCAGTGAGAGGCTTCAACGGAAACAGAGTAGGGAGCAGAACAGGCAAATTGTCAAAGTATACTGCCAAGGGAAGCAGCAGGCAAGACAGGAGGGGTCTGCTGCTGCACCATGGGGTCAGCTCCCTGGCTGAGGTTTGACTCTAGCTGACACAACTGTTGCTAACTTCATAGTGCTGCGCTTTAACCCATTGTGCCACCAGGAAGGGGCCCATGCAGTTGTTTTTAACAAAAGCACCACCCTCTCTCTAATCCAGTCTCCTATCATTATGAGACATTTCCATCACCCTCCCATCTCTTAGGTTTTAAAGCTTGTCATTCTTAGGACCTAGAAATTAGTTAATTCTCTGTTATTGGTATTCTGAGGTTAAACAGGGTCTTAGAAGTAAAACATATTAAATGAAATACTTTTTGGTCAAGAGAGGTGCATAGCGTAGAGCCAGAATTCAGATAGACTATAGTCACAGTCCCAGTTGTAGGGGCAAGGATTTGCCTCCCGAAATATTTTTCGTGACGTATGGATAGTTCTTGATCTCCAGGTGTTAAAGAATTATTTCAGTTAGATTATTGGCTGCAGAGGATTTCTGAAGGATTTGGAGATCTGGAGCCTCTGAGATGCCTTTAAAGAAGTAATGAAATGGATATATTAAGAAGCTAGATTTTATAGTGGTTTATGAAATAGACAGAAGGCGTGCAGAGCAGATAAGGCCCTCTAAGGTAGGCTGTGATCCCACTTCACTTGGATCTGTGTTTAACATCTCATGCTCATTTATTCCCTAACCCTCCTTCCTCATTTTGAACTTACATACACACAAGACCTGCAGTCTGTACCATCTTCTCTTCCTTTTCTCCAAGTTATAGGACTAATTTCAAAACAGTCATGTATTTCTCTTTTAGTTCTTCATTCTACTGTAGAAGTTTGCTTCAACAGAAGAGAATAGGGGATTTTTGCACTTTGGATTTCTTTCAGATTGGAGGACAAGGCCTGAAGCTAAGCCATCATATCTGCAGCAGAACATATCTGAAGTATCCCATAGCACAGATGATCTCTTACGTGCCACATCAGAAGATTCTTATTATGTTAGTAGCCAGTTAGAAAGGCACCAGGAAAACGGGAAGCACTATCTGGGGCCAGATGTATCCACCCAGAAGAAAATAGTAACACCAGAAACAAATTTGGAGCAGAATAAATTTGGTGAAAACTCTAGATTAAACACAGACCTGGTTGCACAACTGAACATTTCTTCAAGGTCTAGTGAATGTGATACCCTCGGAGGCAATTTGGGACATAATTCAGGCTTACTTAATCAGAATAATATCCTTGCAAAAAAGAAGCCTTTCAAATGTGACAAATGTAGAAAAGCCTTTATTCATAGATCATCACTTACTAAACATGAAAAAACTCATAAAGGAGAGGGAGCTTTTCCCAATGGTACAGACCAGGGAATTTATCCTGGGAAGAAGCACCATGAATGTACTGACTGTGGGAAGACCTTCCTCTGGAAGACACAACTTACTGAGCATCAGAGAATTCACACTGGGGAGAAGCCCTTTGAATGTAACGTGTGTGGGAAGGCCTTCAGGCACAGCTCATCCCTTGGTCAGCATGAGAATGCTCATACTGGAGAAAAACCCTATCAGTGCAGTCTCTGTGGGAAAGCCTTTCAGCGAAGCTCCTCCCTTGTTCAGCATCAGCGAATTCACACTGGAGAGAAACCCTATCGATGTAATTTGTGTGGGAGGTCTTTTAGGCATGGCACATCCCTCACTCAACATGAGGTCACACACAGTGGAGAGAAGCCCTTTCAGTGTAAGGAATGTGGGAAAGCTTTCAGTCGATGTTCTTCCCTTGTCCAGCATGAGAGGACTCATACAGGAGAGAAACCTTTTGAATGTAGCATATGTGGGAGGGCTTTTGGTCAGAGCCCATCCCTTTATAAACATATGAGGATTCATAAGAGAGGAAAACCTTACCAAAGTAGTAACTACAGCATAGACCTCAAGCACAGCTCCTCTCTCACTCAAGGTGAAAGCATTCTCACTGAAGTAAAACCCTATCGTTGTAGTGACTGTGGGGAAGACTTCAATCACATTACAGACTTTACTGACCATCAGAAAATCCATTCTGGAAACAGCCCTTATGACTGTGAGCAGACCTTTAGTCAACCGGTTTCTCATCCTGGAGAGAAGCCGTATCAATGTAATGTATGTGGTAAAGCTTTCAAAAGGAGTACAAGTTTCATAGAGCATCACAGAATTCATACGGGAGAAAAGCCCTATGAATGTAATGAATGTGGAGAAGCCTTCAGTCGACGCTCATCACTTACTCAACATGAGAGAACCCACACTGGAGAGAAACCCTATGAATGTATTGACTGTGGGAAAGCCTTTAGTCAAAGTTCTTCCCTCATTCAGCATGAGAGAACTCATACTGGAGAAAAGCCCTATGAATGTAATGAATGCGGGCGAGCCTTCCGCAAGAAAACCAATCTGCATGATCATCAGAGAATTCATACTGGAGAAAAACCCTATGCTTGTAAGGAATGTGGGAAAAATTTCAGTCGAAGCTCAGCTTTAACTAAACACCAGAGAATTCATACACGAAATAAGCTCTAGGAACAATGGAATTAGCAATGTGTGGAAAACTTTAGCTAAAATACTGTTGTAGTAAAGTGTGTGTGTGTGTGTGAGAGAGAGAGAGAGAGAGAATGTGTGGAGAAAACTGTACTAGTAGACAATTTTTTTAAATAAAAGCCACATTCTCAGAACTGATGATAGACTTTTATAAAAGTAATGATAAACATCATATATAACTCGTTGGAAATGATGTGCCTATATATTGGACTTTATAAAAGTTCTGAATATATATGTGCAGGAAATCACCAACTTTTAGCAATTAGATTTGTAACTTACTGTTTACAATCCTTTTTAATAAATAAAATAGTTATCACCAAAACATTAAAAGTTACTTGACCACTGCATTCAACTGCAGCTCTTACATTAAATTTACCTTGGAAGCCAGTTGTATCACCAAGAATTCATCATTCACAGATTGAGATCAGCTTGTCCAACCACTTCTTTGTACAGATGAAGAAATTAAAACCAAAGATGTGAAGTAGTTTACAGTGTGATACAGTTTATAATGACATCACAGGGTGGAGAATGCACGTTCCTGGATCTTTCACCCCATGATCTTGCCACTGAAAAGGTATTTCAGAATTCAGAGGGTTTAAAAATAAACGTTAACATAAATCCTGTATACAAACATTTAATGAGCAGTCATGAATTTGGATACTTTGAAACCCATAAAGCACAAAATGTGCAAATTTGTCACAAATTTAATTTAAAACAACTTGCTAAAAGCTTACAAATGAAAGTGTTAACAGAAACTTCGAATGGCTGAACTACTAGTTTTCCCCATAAGTAACATTATACTTTGGGCTAACACATGTCAGCCATACAAATGTATTAAGTTCTTTTATTGTGCTCTCTGACACCCCCATGAAAAAAGCAAAGTCCCTATATTGTATTAATGGGGGGCGGGGGAACACAAAACTGATGGGAGAATTACCCCCAAAATCCATTTTGTTCTAGAGAATTTTAATTACCCATTGTCATATTATTAGTCTTTAAATCAGTTTAGAGAATCAGTATGTAATGGTTCCTTTGTGTGCCAAGGAAATATTTCAATGTAAAAAAAATAACAGGTTTGGTATTTTTCCATCAGTGAAGTCTAAGTTAAGTCATAACCCACACCAGCCCTTATATCCTTTAAGACCTCCCATGAGTTATAATAAAGGAATTTTCAGAGCTTTTATTCATTCATTGGCAATCAACAGTGTTGATGCCATTCAACACTGTTTCAAGTCTGGGAGCAACTGCAAGCATTGATTCCTGTCTTAGAGCCTCTCCCTGTTACAATGGGATCACACTAATGACTCATGGAGAAGTGATAAAGGAATGTTGGTGATGGTCCTTTCTTTGCAAGCCAGGCACCAGGGCCCATCATCCCTGTCTCATTCTAGATGGATTAAGGCAGCTCCCAAACATTCTTCACTATAATTTGCAGAGAAATTGCATGAGGTTGAAATGTACTCTTTTTAGCTCAACGAGTCCAGCACCTGTAGAGAAAGCAGCACGCTTTGTAGCAGATCTGCCCTTCCAAGACATTAGCCATTCAGAATGCTCCACACCTGGCACACACACATGTCAGAGGCACACTTGTGTGGTCTCATGTAATTTAACAACGGGTAATTCTACTCAGACCCTCTCCTACTGGTGGGCTAGGATGCCGGGAATCAGGAACTTACAGTTTTATCGATCCCTGTAGTAGGCTATTTGCAAGAATGGGATGAATGCTATCCCACTATTGAGGACGTTTATAAGTACTTAGTTCCAGAGGACCCAAAGGAGGCCACTGGTATGTAGAACCTGGCCTCCATCCAGTCAATCTCTGAATCTCCACAAATCTTCACTGAATAGAGAGGAAGCCTAAGACGAATGTGTGGCTAATTGCACAGAAACAGATGGACCCAGCCACCACCCACCATGCACTTAAGAACACCCAGATTTCTAGGCCACATAAAATGCATACTTGTAACATTAGTGTATCATTTCAATAAATAGCCTTCTTAGCTAAGTGGGAGTCAGTTTATCTTTTTCAATTTTCAGAACATGGCTAAGATTAAGGAATGACACATGGAAGAAGAGGAATTAACTGCTAACCTCTTCAAAGCAAGGTGAGTCAATAGCATTTCTTCAGTGCTTGACGCTTGAAAGACACCGTGTTGTGTGTTTAACATCCATTACTGTATATAATCCCTGTAAACCCCTATTAACGGCTCTTCTGGTAGCTCTTTGCCTAGCTTTTTTCTCCCTCTTCTGGTAACATTTCCTGCTGTTCTGACCATAGGAACACAGGCCAGGGTGGCCCTGGGGCTCAGTGATAGTCTTTTAAATGCATGTAACCCTTTGACAGAAATTTTGCAAGTTGTCGTGGAAATCTTGGGATTTGCCAGGCCTAACTAGATAAAGGCCAAGAGCTTTCTGGAACCTAGCTCCTTACCAGGGAAATGAGGGTGCAGCTGACCTGCTAACATTCTTGTTTCTAATTTAAGTTCCTTGTGTCTGACTCAATTTCTGAAACCCTTACTGGGACCCTGGGCTCCCCATTACCAGTTCATTGATTCCTCCTGTTTGATTAAGCTAATTGGCTAGATTTCTATTGCTGGCATTCAATAATTGGTATGCATGTGTTATATCCTTGCTTTACAGTGGGGAAACCCAGTGTGGTGAATTAACTCACCTTAGGAGCTATGTCTGATGGCAGGTTCCAGCTTCACACCCAGACTGCCTGGCTCCAAAGGCATAACTTTTAACCTTGACCTTAACTTCTCCAGTGCCATATGTTCAAGGAGCTGCAATTAATTCAATATTTGGACACCAGTGGATGAAGTGAGTGGACATGGTGATAGCTTAGGTGGGAGGTCACACAGAGACAAAATGGTGAACTGTGGGATGTTTCCTCCAACTATTTCAGTAAAGTTCACCCATAGCCCTCACATCTTAATATGTTATTTGTATTTGCCAGTGTTATAGATAAAATTTTATATCATACTTAAAAAAAAAAAACTAAAACATTTACCATATGGCACACAATCTCTGTTACAAGTTCCCTACTACATTGACCATATTTGTCTTGTTTTTGGACTAATGAACGTTTCTATAACAATTACGTTGAATACTTTTATCCTTGTAAGCACTCCACCTTTTTTCCTGTAGAAGTTTTTCTTAAAATATCCAGAATGAGATTAAATCTCCAAAATGGAATTGCTGAGTTAGCACGAATAGGTTAGTATAACTATATGGTGTGAGACTCAGGAGAATAAGCTGGATACAAAGGGCAGGAGTCGAGTCTCAGCACTGCAAAAGGGAGCTGGAGAGAACCAGGCTTTTCCCACTGCTGGTCCCTGGTGTTTGGCAGAACACGTCTTGCTT